TTGTCTGATTATGTGCATTATTTATTAGATGTTACTCAACCATATGTGCATATTTTTATGTTTAAGTCTTTGAAAAGAGAATTACAATGTGCTAAAGATGAATTATAGAAATTTATTAATAAATTGTTTGTACCCTTAAGTGCAGGGATAAAATTTTAGTATTTTTACTAGTAAGGCGAGATTATTTTTATACCTTGTTTAGCGAAACCATTGTCCACCAATAATAATGATTTTGAATAAAAGTAAAATTTTATTTGTGGCCAATTAGCACACTCGCTTTCACAAAAAAATGGAATTTTCAGAAAAAACTAAATTTTATAAAAAAAATTTTCCGCCCTCTGATGGTCATTAAAAAAATTAGTTTGTCTTAGATGTTTCTGTTTGCCAACAATTTTTGCATTATTAAATACTGCTTGTTTGTAAACCTCGTTGGTTTATTTAAGTGCATTTGGGAGTCTTCTTAAACTATATTTTATTAAAATTCATGTTATAAATATGATTATATAGTCAGACCATAGGTCAAGTGTTATTGATCTTGCTATTTCTATTTTCGTTTCTCTGTCAGGTGTTACTGCAAAATGTTTGAATCATTTATAAAAAGAAATATTTACTTAACAATATTTGAGAATATTGCATCATTCAATAAAAGTTTATTGTCTTCCTTCTACTCCTATATTTTCTGGTTAAATTGTGAAAGTACAGTAGGCCTACAATTTAAGATCTACTAATTTTGATTCCTTCGAATACAAACTCTATTTGCAATGATGTCAAAGTCATTATGAACAGTCTTTTTGAAATATCAAAAACATTTAATGTTGCATTTAAATACTGTATCATCAAAAGTTATATAAAATGTTAATGATAGAACATTTAGACCAATTTTATATCCATCCAACTGGCCCTGCCTACCACCATTGCCTTTCCACTAAGTTAAGATGCTGTATGAATCAAATTCCAAGACACTATTTTGAATTATTATTTTGGACAGAAGGGAGGTGGTAATTGGGAAATGTACAGTAATACATTCCACTGTAATGCCTATTAGTGAGACTTGGTATAAACAACACTCTTTATCCACAAATGTACTGTACAAGTGTACTTCGATTAGAATGACATTGTAATTTTTAAGTACAGGTATGTTCATTCCATCATGCATGCCATTTACGAGTCGCATGTTGTTGTCAGATATCAGAATTAAAATAAGGTGTGTAAGCCTTATCTACAAAGTATATAAAGGTTGTTGACCCATTTTCTCATCTAGGTCTCCCTACTAGGGGCTGTTAGCAGTATTCTTTACTCAATGTTTGTAGTATTGCTCAAGTGCAGTACTAAGTTGTGAAAACCTGGTGTGGAATACATTACAGTGTCAATGGCTGGTTATTGACCCCATTTTTTTAATTCTCTTTCTGACTATTTGGATTGAATTCTAATACTTTTGCACTTTGTCTGAGAATATTTTTAAAAAATTCCACAATCTACTAAATCGGCATTGGAAATTTTAAAGATGTACTGCTTGTTGATTTTATGATGATCTTGGTGAATATAATAAAATCAAGGCTTTTTACTGTACTGATGATTTTCAGAGATGAGTCATAGACCCTAAAGAGAGAGATGCATGTACACACCCTTACACACAGGGCAACTTGTGGCTTAATGTGAAAGTAAAGTCCAATTGTGGTATTTCAATTGTGGCATTTATTTACTTGGTAAAGAATTGCTGAGTAGTTCTCCAGGTTCTCACCATTGTTATATTTTGTTTGTGTTTGTTTTAATTTTTCCACTACACTGGCTACAACCAGCATCCCTTGTATCTAACAGTTGGTTTCACACGAAGTTAATAGAAATTACCGACCTAATGTAAATAAGTATTTTGATTTTTTCCCGATTTAAAATGAATATAATCAATAGTATGTGTTTGATACACCGCTCCCACAACGCACTACTGTAGCATAATAATTTATGAATTTGGTCATAATCACTTAAAAATAATGATTAATATTAGTTTCAACTGATAATACAGTAGAACCCCTGTAATTAAGGGGACACCTTCAGGACCAAAAAAAGTGTCCTCTTAATAGGAATTGGTCATAGTGTTTTAAAAGATAATAGTCCTACTTTCCCTCGTTTAGTATCTGAAAAAGTACCTACTTGATAGGGGAGTCTCATTAATAGGGGTGGCTCCCTAACAAGGATGTCCCAAAGGAGGGTTCTACTGTAGTTAATAACTAAGTTTCTTAGTATTTTTTTTTTTTTTTAAATTTGAAAATTAAGACAGGCAGTTCCAAAAGAAAAAAAAATTGCTATCAAGGTGCGAGTAAATGGCAAGTTACGAGGTGTTTACATTTTGATTAGCATTTTTACATTTAATTTTTAATATTTTTTCCAACTGTTATTAGATAGATGGTATAGGCCTACTAAGCTTATAAGGAGTCGTCTTAACAGGGTAATTACAGACCATATTTGTGGTTCCACCTTGGGAATTGGCTGGACACTCTGTTTGTTTTACCTACGTAATTTATGGTCAAGAATGCACAACATTCAATAAATTATTCACAGAATTATCTAAATTTCTTGAAATATTGTTTTCAAAAACTCTAGTATTAGTACTAATATTATTCTTAACTATATCTCTTTACTTCCTTATCGTAAACCATAAACAATAGCTATATATTAATATTCTAGACTGAGCTTAATTAATTTTTGGCCCATAAATTTTGTATATTTTATTCAAATATATTACAAAATATAATTACTAGTGGTATTGAATTATTACTCAGCATTATTTTTGTCTGCAAGCCTCGATTTTCTGAATTTGCCACCAATCCAATAATATGCCCAGCTGACCTAACTGCCAGGTAAACAAAATTAGTGGCTTTTTTGTGCAAACCACCCCAACATTTTACGACTGTTTATATTCATGATTAAATACTAGTAGAATTACAGAGTCATGAAAATTAATGGGTTTACAGTATTCTGTTAAGGGTATTCTGTTTATTGACATTTTATTATAATTAGAACATGTAAACATAAAAGAATTTGATGTATTCAGGTTAAGAAGTAAGAGTTGGAGTTTACAATGTAATTAAAATAGATGCTACTTTACTATTACCATTATTGGCAGCGTAACCATGTCAACTTTCGTTTAGTAACCCAAGTCTAATGATACAAACATGTATGAAGGGTTTCTGTAGGGTATTTCCAGCAAATTTGTTGCCAACAGATTCATGGTTGCCAACAGGATAATGGTTTTGTATTGGTTTGATACTCAATAACATGTACTCGTAAGTTGTTTTTTTTCCCGATACATTTTTATTTTCCTTATTTTTTTTTTAATCAATACTAATTCTAAATCAAATGATAGTAGCTTTGGTACACAGAGAATTACATTATAATTTTGATTTAAACTTGGGAATCTACATTTGATTAATTAGGCAGCCTTGTGTTTATAGGTTATCATATAGGCGGTGTGTTTTGTTGAAAAATGTGACACAATAGACAATCAAAACAAATTATGTAATTAAAAAACCAAATTCCCTGTTGCAACTGTACATTTTGATCACTGATGTGGGTTGTGTATTGAACATTCTGTCGCATATTTGCATGTTACGCTCTTTGTGTTGCAAAACTGATGAAAAAAAGCTTTTATATCAATTATTCCATTTTATAAATGTGGGTCAAATATTTGGAATTAGCTTTTTAAAGGGAATTTTTTTCAATTATGGTGAATCGAAGGAAGCCACAGACTAATTAGTTTCAAGCAATGTAAAACTTAAAAGTAGGCTTTAATTTATATTTTGCTGGTTCTTTTGTGACTCAACTAATCCATACTTTACCTTTGAGTGATCACTTCCTATTGGTCTCAGAAATTATGAATAACAGGTAAACAAAACAATGCAAAATTTTAAGGAGGCTATGTAAGTTATTGTGATGTAAGTTCATACATGTTTGTGTATTTTTACCTGGTTTCTACACCATGATTTTTTTGATGACTAACATTCTTATTTTAACCTTCATTGTTGAAAGAGGAAAGTCCAAAGTACTTTCATGCCTTCTACTACTGCCAGTACCGGTATGCAAAAGTTTAAAGAGTTGACTTCAGCAAGGGCTAGTAAAACAATATCTTTTTATGACAAGTCAAGCACTTTTCAGCAAGTAATTATCATTCTTTTGCACTTTCCATACTTTTGATCTTATTGATTGATTGATATTTTTGCAGGTAGAGTTAAAAAAAATAACCTGAATTACTGTATTATTGGTTTTCTAAATTCTTTCAATAGAAAGGAAGATTAGGCAAAACAAAAGTGTCTTGTCCAGAGGAAAGAGGATGATTAAAGTCAATGCAGTACATTCTTTGGAAAAGAGTAGGGGATTGTCTTCCGGTCTACTGCCCAATTCACCCCCGGAAGGACATCACTGGAAACAAGTTTAAGGACTTAGTGGGCTATTCTTGGTGTGATTCACACCGAAATACTTCTATAATATACTCTTATCATATTCAACACAATAGCTACAGCATGCACATTTACAAAATTATGTTTCCTACCTGTAATAAAAATCATTAAGTCATTACAAGTATATTTCTTTACTTTTATAAAAACTAATAATAATAAATAATAATGAAAAAGAAATAATAAGTGCACAAATCCACTGCAGTTAGTGCTCCAGATGATGCAGAAGGAAGGAACCAAAATTACCTTAAACGTGGAATGCGAAAGATAAAATATTGCAGTCTGTCAGATTGCTATAGCCGAGTGATTTCAACGATATGCAAATGTAAAAACATAATTTATAAGTTCCTCGCCCTACTGTATGTGCTTTGCTAAAATAAGTACAATCCCTTTGTGTTTGTTTTTGCTTTTTAAGTTGTATTATAACATAATCACATTTAGTTACAAAAAAAAAAAAGAAAACGTATTTGTTAAAAACAAATATTACATAATTACAACAAGTAGGTGAGGTTAAACTAAACAAGTGAAAAGTTAATGTAATTAATGTGAAATATGGCTGTAGAAGAGCCTTTGAAAAAAAAAAGAAGAAAAGATGACAAAAGAGAGGTTTTGGCTCTGTGCCAACTATCACATAACTATCTCCGAGGTACAGGCACATTAACATATTCACATTACCGTTAATATAAATTATATCATAGTTTCCCAGCTAGCATCTGAATAAAATATTAGTGTTGTAATATATGAAATAACAATGTTAAGTTGGAAACTAGCATCGGAATAAAATATTACAGTATTGTAATTTATTAAATGCAGTGCAATTGAATATATTCAAATTGCCTAGCAATAGTATGAAGCATCCAATTAAAATTTAGAAGCAAGAAAATAGTTTCTTTTATTAACAAAAAAATAGTCCTTCATTTATCAACTTAAACATAATCTTATTTTTGATTATTAAACAGATAATGATCTGCTTTTATTTATTTATTTTATTTGAATGTTGATTGTTTGTTTGTGCGTGTTTTTTTTTTTTTTTTTTTTTTTTTTTTTTTTTTTTTTTTTTTTTTTTTTTTGCATGTTTATATCTCTGTTTAAAATAATTACCTCTCATGGCCCCTCCGACACAGGTTTTACCTTTTGGAGAATGCCTTCTTTCTCTTTGCTTTCGCCTTTTCTACTTTTTTGAATTTTGTTATTTAATGTTACTTGAAATTTTATTGTACATAATATTATTTTTGAGAAGGGTTTACTTATTATATATTCCATTTTGTAAATTTTTGTTGAGATGCAGATATTTTTGCGATTTGTTTTTGTTTTATTTTACACTGAGAAAGAGGAAAACAAATGTTTTGATGATTGATTTGATAATTAATACTGTTTGTTTTCTTTGCATCAACTCATAAATTTGCTGGAATTATAGCAGTTTTTAAAGTAAATCGGCAACTAAAATATGTAGCCTGATGATAATTCTTAATGTTTTGCTTGAATTTTTTAGGGTTTTTTCTGATGATAATGTAAATCTTCAATTAAAAATGAGAAAGTATGAAAAGGAAAATTAAGGCAATTAATTGGCTGCATCTCATCATAAAAATATGATCTTAGTTTTCTGTCTTAAGTTTATGATTTGATAGCTTGTTCAGATCTTCATTTCTTTGTATGTAATCAATCTTATACGGCACGAGATCGTTAGAGCACTGACTCCTGTGTTTTCAACATGATTCAAAATGGCTGCTGGTTATAATGAGGAAGATGTGCTATTTTCTGTCTGTTGATTAAAATAACCCTGTATTATAATATAATGACCTTTATAAAGTGTATAAAAATAGCAATTGCAATTTTGCTCATCCATAGTCAATGAAGTCATAATCCCAGCAGTAGATGTAGAATTTCTTTCGGATCTAGATGCAATGTTCCATAATCACTTCGCGATTGCTGTGTTTAATACCCGCTTGCCATAATGGCCAAGTATGTTTCCTAACAATCAGTCCGCAATGGAATTCAATTTATTCTGTCTGTGCAACTAGAAATCTTTGATAGCTAGCATTTATATGCTAATTTGGTGAATGAATGAATACTGTATACACATAAATGCATAATAGCACTGATAATGGAGTACTGTAAACATAGTCTTCAGGGTCATAGCATATCAAATTATAGGGATTTCCAGGCCACCCTCTCAGAAAAATCTTAAAGTTCACATTATTCGTAATATGGAATGAGCAGTGATGCAGGTTTCCAATTGGTGATCCTGTTATTTGGCCAAAAAAAAATATACTTGTTTAGCGTCACACCCTCAGAAATTTGCAGGGGAAGGGGGCGGCATATTTTTTTTTTTGCTGGCCTAGGCCCTTCTAATGAATGTTTATGAGTTGCAGTTCGGTTAAAATATTTCATGAGCTACGCCTCGTTGAACAGAGCATCCAATGTTTCACCGAATGGAAATATTCTACCCCATTGTACAAAGAAGAAACATTCATTATTTGTTTTATAGAGTATCACAGTCATGTCATCATGACGCCAGGTGGCGCTCTCTGTTGTCAACAGACGTAGGTTACCGTTAATTACACCTGAATGACTTCATAGGCTTTCTGGAATAGGCATTTTAAAATCTAATATTTTACCATCAAAATATACTAAAAACATAAAAGCTCGCATTATATTAAATAAAAACTAGATAAGCCGTACTAGTCTAATATATAATAGAAAATAAAACTCAGGATATTCAGTACTTTTATGACTTGTTTATTTATGACAGTACACAAGCTTTCGTGCACACAGTGCACAAGCTTTCGTGCACACAGTGCACTTCTTCAGGTGAATGTGAAGTTAACATAAACTTGGTGTATAGACCTAAGCAAGTTAATTATTCAAGCATATTATTGTGTGCTTGAATAATTAACTTGCTTAACATTCACATTCACCTGAAGAAGTGCACTGTGTGCACGAAAGCTTGTGTACTGTCATAAATAAACTAGTCATAAAAGTACTGAATATCCCGAGTTTTATTCGCATTATATTAGTTATCGAACACACATTTAATCAATTAAAATTTACAAAGAAAAAGTAAGATACAACATCTTAATAATTGCGTTAGAAATTGGGATCAGTGGTTTGTCAGTGGATAAAATGGCATTGGGTTGAACGCATTTTGCAACAATAGCAATGGAGTAGTATCACATGGTATCGTTACTAACACTGTAGTACTCTATACAACACCTATCTTTATCTCTCCAGATCGCCTGCATGCTCTCTTCGCATACCAGGACCCATCTTCCTTACGAAGGCCAGCATAAAACCAGCCTTGCCTAGGAATCGATCAAGTTCAGGCTCGGCTAATAATAGATTCATATCCTCAACGCCGAAGCTGGCGAAATACTCCATACGGTTAACTGCATATTTTATTGCCTTTTATATTTATTCGGCATAACTTTCATTCAGTAATGCCTCTAAACCTTTTTCGCTTGAAAGTAGAAATGGCCCAGTACCAAATGGACCTGCCATTTTATCTGCAGAGCAAGGGCTACCGAATGACCAACTCCTTGTTGACGCGCGAGTTGCCTAGGCTAGGCTAATTTTCTCGCTCGTGTTGTATTAGAAATTTTTGGCATCTTGGAGAGGAAAAGTTACTCAAATATCCATGGGATATTCTTGTTAAATCATTCTCACGTGACCTGTTTACAACCAATCAAATGAATTGATACAGGTGTTGTATGAAACCATATAGAACACATCAGTAGATATTTATAAGGCATCGGTGGTTTCCACATCTACTGTAAGTTATGTTTACAGTCATGAGACATCGATCTTCTGGTCATGTGATTAGTCCTTTTGGTTTTCCTCTGTTTTTCAAGAAAACAAAGGTATAAAATTGCATGTACTATTACCTTTTTTTGCCTTGTTTTACAAGCAAACATTTTACCTTACAATAATAATTAGCGTTACAAATAGCAATTTCAAAGACCTATAATAAATTGAAATCTGAAATAGCATGAAATGTCTTGGTTCCATAATGGTGATGAACATTAGGCCAAGTATTTAAAAAAAATGCTGGTTTTTGTCGTCTCCGTCTGATTTCTTTTTAGCTGCCGACTCAATTTTTAGTTTTACTGTTTCAGATGTTTTTAGAACGAAAATGTCACACACTAAGTAATTACTATTTGTGGTAACAAAATATAAATTGTACAAGAATTATAGCATGTTTCTCTAGTAGTAGTAGATGTAAATGTGGCTATGTGTTGCATAGGCAAATCAACAAAGAATACCAAGGATGTTGTAAATTTCCTTGAAGCATAAAGGATAAAAATCTGGCTTAAAAAATTACTTCCTCCAGAGAGCCACTTTCGCTGTGTAACCCACTTTGTGATGTTCTAGCAATCGTGGTTTATTTTCATAGCTATCTTTTTTAGTTGATTGGCACTTTTTCCTTATTTTCATTTGTATCATATCATTTGTAAAGTTTGTTTTCTAATCCACAGATTAGCATGCACGATGTGGGTAATTTTCTAGCTGACTGCATGTTAATTAGTAGGTTTGTTTGTGCGTATAAAGTTCATATGACTGATTGGTTGAGTGGGTTGGATATTTCATTCAGGAATTATGTTGCTCCATACAACAGGTCGAACATACTTTTATGCATTCACTAAACCAGAATTGAATAGTTAACTCGGTGGGATATGTAGTCCCTATTGATTTTTGTGTCGCTTGGTATTTCAATTACTATACAGTAGTTTCTTATTAGTTGTGAAATTGGGTCGTATTTGGGGTTGGGTGGTTAAGACAAGAAAATGCAAACAGTAAGTTGTCTGCTGCAGTCCTAAGTTAAATAATGTAGAAAAAACAAAGTGGCTTTGTAAATGAACAGACATTGTTGTTTCATTGAAGTGCTAAAAAATTAGAAAATATCTGTAATAAATTATAAAATATCTGTAATGTACACTATGCCCTTCCCCTTTGAAATTTAACACCAAACATTTTAGATCTCCACTCCTTATCCTCCTTATGAGTGTAATAACTTGGAACCAATACTAAATTACAAATAGACAGCGGAGAATAAGTGTTACAGCATATTTCATATTCATTTACTACTGGTGTGATATAATAGATGTATTAATATATCAAGATCTATCTTCCTGCTTAATGTAACTTGGCTTTTAAAATCCCTTGCCCCCACCCTCACCCATGTACTGTATTGCATAACAGGTGTAATAATGGTATGACCTAATTTGCAAATGCTCTGTGGGCCTTCCGACAGTGTAAGCCATAAAAAGCCAGTGTGTTGAAAAGCCAAGGCACCGTCTAATGCCGTCCATCGTTGGTCTCGCACATGAGAATAAAATGCTTTCTGTGCTGTTAATTTAAGGAGTCATCAAGGTGTAAAATGATAGTTAGTGACAATATGTACGATGGTTAAGATGTTATATCTTAAAATAGGATGAGCTGATAGTATTGTAGTAGTGTTTTTGCTGCTAAGCAGCCAATTCATATTCTTGACAGCAATTTGACCTCTGAAATGTCATGGTTTGTCAAAAAACAAGGGCCTAAGACGACTGAAAAGCGGAGTTTCCTTCTTTCGTTCTGCCGGGTAAAATCAATTACTTTAGGCGACGTTGTAGACTAACCTACTCGTACCAACGTCCGCATGTCGCGACG